TAATTAATTAATATTTTTTAAATACGATTTATATTGTTATACATAATAACTATTTTTTAAAATAATACTTAAGGGATTATTATAATAATAATAATTATTAACTTTTTGATTTTAAATTATTTTGTATTCTTCATTCCAATAATTTGGATTTTTTTTAGAGGAAATTTTAAAATACGAAATATTTTAAATTATATTTGAATAAATGCACTTTAAATAATACCAGTGTATATTATTTTTCTATCTGATTACAATATTCTTAATTCTATACTGTGTTTGTTTTTGTTTATTTAAATTCTGGAGGCTATGATTTCAATATTCTAATTCTAAATTTAATTTTAATAAATTTAACATAAATTAAATCTTGTAGTACATATTATAGTAAATATTTTAATTATAATTATATATGACAATTTATAACAAATTTAGTTAATAATAAATTTTTTATGGTTATACTTAACGATGATCGAGTGTTTTATTCTGAATCTTATTTTTTTATTCACTCAGGGACAAGAAAGTATTTTAAATATCGTGCATTCATATAAAACGTTAGCGATGCAAAAGTTTTTATATGAGAATAATATTTTGCATTCCTCCACTTTACATATCTCATTTTAAAAAATAAGAGTGTGAGAATATGCAAAGAAAAAGTACTTCTTTTTTTGAGATCTGATTTAATTTAGAAAATGAAAATTCTGATTAGAATTTTGATCTGAAATAAATTGAAAAAAGTGAATAAAAGTGTGAGATTCAGAATAAAGGCTTATGTTAAACAAAGAGAGCCAATAGAGAAAATTTAACTATTTATACTTATAACAATTTAGCATAACTTTCTTAATCAAAATTATTTTAGAAAAAAAAATATTGTATAAATATTCGAAAAAAAAAATATTCGAGTTTATTTTAAAAAATAAAGAATTCTAAAATGTTATAAATCGTATTTTCTTTTAATTTTTTTTTTGATTTCTTCCCTTTGGAATTAGTTAAGATCTTAAGGATTATTAATTTAAGAACTTAATGTTAAGAAAATATTAATTTAATTTAATTGATGCCAAATGGAAAGTGGAACTAAAATTAAGTTATTGGTGTAATGGTCTAATATAATTTTTATACTAAATTTTTATTTTTATACTAAAAACCTTTTTTTTATAAAATTTAATTTTCTTTAACTTGTAAGCTAAATAATATTCTAATTTTATTTATTTTTTACATTTATAATTAAATTAAATTTAATGAAATTCTTTGCTTGGCTTAATAACAAAACATCATTATTATAAAAATTGTTCATTTCAATAATGAGATTTTTGAAAATTATTTACTAATTATAAATAAGAAATCATGCCTTTGTGGCGGCTCGTACCATGTTAATTTCCAAAAATTGAGTGAATTTCTTTTAATATTAAATTTTATGCCGTTTCATGTAGATTTTAAATTTTCAATTTCAGTGATATTTTTTATTTAAATTAAAGTCTTATGTTATACTTTAAATTCCCTAATGTATTTACGCTCTTTTTCCATGTAGATATGCGTGTTTTAATGTTTAGTATTATGGGATTATTGAAGAACTTCATCATATTATTTAATAAACCAAGAAGTCTAAAAAGAGAATAATATTTCATACTCTCTTCAACGAATAGGAAATTACGTTTTTCCAAGAGAGTAGGGAGACTGGTTATAATATTTGAGATGCATAACCCAAAATAAAATATTTAATTGTTAAAATAATCTATTCTCATATTATTATTCATTATTATTCGAAAATTTATGAAACTCTATAGAACTATACGTGTATGAATTAATTATAGTTCAATAAGTTATGAGCTAGTACAGTCAAATTAGTGTGAATTTTTATTAAAATAGAGCACAATTGATGGGATAGGTAAAATTTTCTCTATAATGTCTTTAATTTGATTTTCTGAAATTCTTAATAAATATTCGTGTACGACACTTCTTGTTAAAAATTTGTTACCATGCATGTTTTGTCCAGGCCCAGGAGTACACGATGTCCTCATGCACGTGCTTCATGTGTTTATTCGTTATTTAATTTTTCGCTAATCTGTACATTTGTGAAAATCAATTTTCAAAATAAATTTAGATAGTGTGACGTATTTCACTGTTCTGACGAGAAAGTGAGCAATCTCTGTAGCTCTCGTTATTTATTCAATAAGGAACTGTCCCGAAGAGGAGTAGGAGTACGTGAAGAACTTAATTTAAAGAAGAATAACTATTGTCTCCATTACTTTAAAGCATATTCAAGGAATTTTTTAGAGTATATTTAAAAGTTTTAAGTTTTTTTAATATTTTTATTTAATTCATTTTTGGATTTGCATTCACTACCCACAAATAACCTAAAATTTCCGATTATTATTTTACTTCCATTAAAATTTTGATATGATTTAAATTTACTTTCGTACTAAAAATATTTTTTCTTAAAAATTTGTGATATACCACCGTTTTGACTGTACTTTTTCTTAACCACCCTAATTAATTTCCTATTTTTTTTTCAATTCTTCCATTTAGTCTTCCGCATTTTCTCTTTCGCTTCATAATGAATAAATTGCATTCTAATCAAAATTATAATATTGCATTCTTCAACAACAATATTAAATTTAATTTTAAAATTTTTTTTTTTCATTTTTTATTTTCAATTCTATTTTTTTGATAAAAAGAAAAATTAATAATAAAAAAGTCAAATAATAAATTTCAATTGAAATCGGAAAAGAATATTACAAAAATTTTCAATAAGAAAATGAATAAAAAATTATTCACCTCATCGAAGAGGTCATTTTAATTTTTTTAGGTCCTTTTTATTTTTTATCATTTTCATTTATTTGCTTGGGCCCTTTTTTTTCTACTTCTTTTTTATTTTACTTTCAATATGAAATGCAAATTTGTTAGAAAAATATTGAAGAGCAGAAAAGAAAGCAGGAAGGGAAACAAACGGAAATAATTTGAAAGTATAAAAAAAAATTTTGTTTAAAAGTGAAGAATTCGAATTTCTCATTTAAAATTTGGAATTGATGGTGTGTTGTGAGAGCATAAAGGAACTCATAATAATTTCAATATTTTGTTTCGTTTTCTCCTTATGCTTACAGATTGATATCATAAAATATGTGTAATGGTATTATTTTTTGAAAATTTGTAAATTTTTTTTTACAGATATGCTAATTTTATTAAACTGTAATGACTATTATAAAATAAAGATTCAATGTCTATATATAATTAAAATCTATATCTGTTTAGTAATGTTCAATTCGTAAAGAGTTTTCCCATTCTAAAAATCAAAATCTTACCAAATATTTTCCTCATAATTTCAATAATTTCAACATAAAGTGTAATTTAAGAGCATATTATGAACACTTTTATTTTTCCCCACATTCGAAGTACAGTAATAATATATTGATCATAGCACAAAAAGAACAATATTGAGTGTGTAATTGTTCTACTAAATATTTAGAGTATTTATAAGGCAATATTTTTTAATAATCATTATGTTATCGTATTTCATTATGTCAGAATTTGTTGTATCGATTAAATGAGAGCTTTACTCATTTCTATATGCCCGAATTTTCTAAGAATTGTAATAATAGTTGTAGGTATTTATGCTATAATATGATATTTTATTAGGTATTTAACATTATTGACTCTATTACAATATAATTCATAAATTATTAAAACTTAAAATTACCATAGAATAATATTACTGCCATGACATTTTATTTTTAGAATTCATAATTGCTTAAAGTATATTATTTTAAACATTTTTTAATAAATCTAGCTGCATAATTTTAATTAGAATTTTCAGATTTTTAAATATTTTTTTACAAATTAAATATAATTTAAATACTAAGTAATAATTGTTATTAATATAATAATTAAATTGTAACTAATTTTAAATACATAAATTAAATTAATATTAAAAATTCGAAATTAAAAAAAAAACAGTGCCTTAATATTCATTATTATTTAATTAATTTTCATTTTCATACAACATTAATAATAATTTAGTGTTTCATATTTTAAAAAATTTTATAACAGTTAAATGTAATTTTACACATTAACATTATAGTGTCATATTACATAATAATAAAAATAAAAATTGGAATTTAATTGTAATGAAAAATAATTAGAATAATATTTTTTGGAAATTTCACATTTTTTCAATTTACAAAGAGCTCAATTATAATGCATATTTCTATGAAAATATTTACAAATTATACATACATAACATACACGTACATATATTAACAGTTTTGCGTAAAAATTTTAAATTCACCACAGAAATTTCTGTTTAAATTTTTGTAAATTGAGAATATTATATTTTTGTGGTAAATTTTTACTGCAATTGTTTAGTAGCCAATTTGTATACAAAATATTTTTAATTGAAAATACTAAAGAGAAATCACTTATAATTGAGCAATAAAATGAATTTGTGAGTAATTATATAATAATAATTTTGAGTATTGTGTTAGTGTATAATGTATGACATTGAATGATCATCACCTCATTATTAATATTAGTGTTATAATAATAATCGAATTTCATATTAATGTTATTAACAGCATTTCGCATAAACAGTAAGTTTTAAAAAAATTATTAATGTTTGAATGTCACCATATAATATCGAATGTCAAAAAACTCTGTCAAAAATAATAATGATGACTAACTTTTTTTTTTTGAAAATCACTAGAAAACTTTTTTCAAAAATAATTTTTAAATTAATTTTTTTATTTATTTTTTTATTTTATGTTTACATTATGCTGTATCGAAAAACAAAATATCGATTATGTCAAAATAACCAAATTATTTGTTTACTGCAATATTATGTAATTAAAAAAAAAAATTTTTTTATAATATCGGCAAAAAAAATGTTTTTATTTTTGTTCACATCTTTATGTATTCTTTTCTTTATTGTTGAATTTATTTGATTCTTAATTTAAAAATCTACAATAAACACTTATAAATATTGAATATAAAACAAAAAAAATTAAAAAACAAAATAGCTTAAATTCTTCAATTATAAGTGTTACGCAAAAATCATTAAAATCACAAGAATCAAATTCAACAATATCATCACCATCACCATCGTCACAATCACGTACACAATCACAATCATCATCACCGGAACGTAAAAATAAAAAACCATCATTATTACCAAAACCAAAAATAAAAGTACCACCACCGAAAATTACAATACCAACATCAACTTCACCAACAAGATCATCACGTATACCAATATTTAAAGCACCAAGTGTAACAATATCAACAATGATTCCTCCAACACCAACAGTAAGAACGACAACATCAACTAATGTAAGTGAAAAACAATTGCCAGGTGGTGTTACAGTAATAACCACAACAACAACAACAAAAACAAAAGGATCGAAAAATTCAAAAAATTCAAATAAAAAACCATTGAATGATGATGGCGCGATTGATTCATTAAAACTACTGACATATGATAATATTGTACAAGATAGTGATGGATCATTACAACAATTATCATCATTAGATAATTTCATTAGAAATGAACGTGCTTGTAGCAGTATTAATGATACTACTACCCATTCAAATGGTAATCCAAATTCACAGAGTGGTTTAAAGTAAGTTCTCTTATTGTTTTTTTTTTCCTCTGATTAATCATTTTCAATGTTTGAAAAACATTACATACATAATGCGCCTCAAATTGTTGAATTTTCATCGAAAAAAAACTTAATTTAAAAAAAAAATGCAACTTTTTATACAAATACATTCATACATGTATACATGTATATTTAGATGTATATATATATATACAATAAAATTGTAATTTATTAATTAAATAAAAAATAAAATGCTTTCTTTGTAATTAAGTTGGCTTTATAAAATAAGGAAAAAACTTAGTATTAAAAATAGTGTATAAACTTTTTTTTTTTTAAATTGTAGAATTTTTTTTATTTCGCTTTTCTCTGTGTTTTTGTATTTCATTTTTGTTTTCTTTAAATTCTGGTTTTGAGAAGTTTTCTATTTTAAATATTTAATAATTTATTTTTTATATTTTATAAAATAAATGCTATAAATTTTTTTAGATTTTAAGTTTTTCTTGTCACTTTATTATATTTTGTACACAAAACAAGAAACATAAGATATGCACTTTTGGCTGGTACTGTACAAAAAAAAATTTTATTTTTATAATCTAAACTTTTTTCTCTGTGTATTTTTTTTTTTTTAATTTATTTTTTATTTTTGCTTTGTTAAAAAAAATATTTTTTTAATTTTTTAAATAAAAGTTTATATTAAGGTTTTTAATTATAAAATGTTTTATTTTTTTTTTTATTATTATAGTTTTCATTATGGATAATGATTGTGTGTTTGTTGTTGTATTCAATTTTGTACACTGAGAGAAAAATTTTCAATTTAATTCTTTATCGAATTAAATTTAGATTTAAAAATGCTTTTACAACTGCATTTTGCACAATATTATTGTTGTAAATTTAGATTTTTGTTTTATTGAGTAAAAATTTTGTAATTCAAGTTGCTTTTTAAAGGGGGCTGCCGAAAATAAACAAATGATTAAACTTGGGAAGATTTAATTCTTCAAATATAATGGTATGAGATAGATGTGAGCAATATTAATATAAAAATTGACCTTAATGTATAATATAAATGGTTTGTACGTGGTTTTCTGTTTAGCACACAAAACTTTAAGCACACAAATCGTATGATTTGTTAAAAAATCAATAATATTTTGTGTTATTGTGCTTATTTAGCGTATTTTTAACGCTTCAACACACTCCGAGATCGAAAATGTAATAACACTGTATTAATACAGAATTCAGCTTATAAATACCAATTGCTGAATTGTGTATTGATACTTTATTATTATAATTCCGATGTCAGGAACACGTAATTGAAAATTTTTCTCAAAATTTTTTTATTTATAATTTGTGATATCCTTAAAATATTAAAATTTTATATTGAAACAATATTTTTGTAGGTAAGATAATTGCACATAATATCCAACATTTTGTTCACATGAGTCTGATTCAAAAAGTTTTGCAAAATGCTTGTATATTGGCTTATTACTGTATAGTAATTTTTTTGGATGCGTTCTGAATTTCTTTAGATTTTCTAATTTGAACGCGAATTTCACACACCCATGCTATTTTTGGATTTTGGAAGGGAATTTATATTGGAAAATTTTAAAAATAACTTAGATTTTCGAATTACAATATCGTATATATAGTTTTCACGGATTTTGAACAATATTTCAATACAATGGGTATAATGAAAATTTCAGTAAACTCTTGAATTTCACAGAGTTTAAATTTATTTATGCAAGAGAAATTAATTAAAAATTATACACAAACAAAAATGACTAAGGATATCACCAATTTCCCATCGTACATATTAGAATTTATTCTGTGTGTGAAAAATTTTTTATATTAAACTATCATTTCTTATTTAATAATTTTTAATTTCTATCACATATATAGGTAAAACAGTTTTATTTTTCAAAATCAAATAAAACATTAAATTAAAACGATTAAATATTTAAAAATCAAAAAAACAAACTTTCAGTATTGATAAACGAGCAGCCTGGCGTGCAGCCAGATTGAAATCGTTGGAAGATGATTCTGCTGAATCACAAAAAATGATTAAAAGTATGAATAAATTTGCTGATGATTTAGTGGAAGAAACTAAAAAAGAGGTAAGAAAAAAAAATGCATGCATGTACTTAACTGCTTTTCAAAAATAATATTAAATTTTAATAAAATTTGTTAAAGGCATTGAATTCATTGAAATTAAACCTTTTTCTCTGATTAATTAATTTTACATTTAAAAAAAAAAAAATTCTTAATTTTTCCCGGCCAAAAAAAGAAACGACTAACTTTATAATTGTTTTGTGCCAGGAAGATTAAAAGAAAACCAGGCATTTAAAACGCTTATTATTTTTTAATCATTAATCCATAAAGGTATTATTAAAATGCTATTCAGGAATGAGTTTAATACTAATGATTATACTAAAACACAAAATAATTATAATAATGAAAATATTATTTGCGTATATACTAAATTTGTAATAAAAACAAAAAAATACTTCAAATATAAACTATCCGTACTTAATTCTAATTAAATTTCAGTTGATTTTCTAATTATTGTCACTAATTTAAACTAACGATAATTATATTATTAATGATTTTTAATTACATGATTATGACCATGATTATTATTTTTATGCGAATATTTTTTATTGTATGAAATTCAGTGTTAACACTATTAAAAATTAATTTTTCTTTTAATGTTATTCAACAAAATTCAACAAAATTTTGTTAATTTATTGAAATGGAGGGTAATTTTAATAATTAGTTTTTTTGTAGTTGTCATACAATATTTAGAGTTTTTAATTAATAAATTGAATTACTTAATATTTTGGACAAATTAATTTTTAAGAGTAAATATTTTTATTAAAATTACCTAATATAATTGAAAGCATTAGAAGAGGGTAGATTTACAAAAATCAGAGAAAAATTAAAATTTATTGTTTAACTCAAAGTTTTAAAAGGTCCAGAGATAAAAAAATCTTCTCTTCACTTTTGCTCTTTTTACTGTTCCCGTAATATATTATGAAAATAGAAATCACAGAAATTTTTAGCTCTTAAAAGAGAACAAAAATAATGATACTGTTTTTTTTTACGTATTTAAATTATTGAAATTATTTCTCTTTATATTTAGTAAATTTAAGGGATTTGAAGTTCCGAAGAAAATTTTCTTTTAACACTGAAATTTTGAAGTGATTTCTTCTTTAGTTGTAAGAATTCAAATTTAGTACTAAGATCTAACATTTTTAAATTATAATCTCAATTGTATTTTCCTTATTATTTCAATGTACAGGGTGTCTCGTGACAAAGTGCACTGCTATATGCTATTGCATAGGCCTTTATGAGTAGATTATTGAAATGAAAGCAGACTTACAGGGCTGTATCAATAAAGGCGCCATATGATATGATCCGGACTATTACTTTAGAAAATGTAAGGGAATCTAGTTTGTTAAATTGAACATTTGCATAACAGAACGGAGACACCAATTTGAACGGTTGTTGTGCATTTTTCTAAGTAATTGAAGAAAAAAATTTTGGTAAAAAATAGGATTTACAGTATTCTATTTATCTCAATAACTCCTAAACCAGATCAGGTAGCGTTATGATTCATATACCAAATACTTAAGCTGATTTGATAAGGTTGCCGGATGTGCTAAAAATGGGGAAAGCTTCAGTAAGAAGTAAAAAAAATCTGTAAAAATGGACTGTAAGCCCCTGTAACTCCGAACCTGTTGAACTGTGAAAATTGTCCCAAAACAAAAGTTTTGTGTACTCATGAGGGCCTATACAATGGCATATAGCAGCGCATTTTGTTAAGAGAATCACCTTGTATATTCTAAAGTAAATAATTTTAAATATTTGATTTATGAGAAATGGCAGCTTGAAATAAGTGATTTTTATACTTCTAAATTTGAAAATTTAAAATTAGCAGAATATCACTTAAGAATAAATAGCATTTTCGGAAAATCCTGTGCTCGAAATATTTAATCCTGCAAAATTATTCTCTTTAAAAATTTTCTCATAATTTAGTATACAAAACATGTAGCTGTTAAATAAATTCCATTTTGAATACCACGAGTTTCCAAAAAAAAAAATACAATGTTTCATTGCGATCTTATAATATAAAACTTTTAAAGTTTAATAATGAAAACATAAAAACCTTGGATTAGGTCTTCAAAGTCAAAATCTTTAAATCTTTTTTTCAAATTAATCTTCAATTATATAAGCTACTATAATTGTAAATTATATTTGATTTGTGATATTATAAATATTCAAATCATGTATGTATAAACATGTATTATAAAAATAAGAAAATTTTAGTAAACTCTGTTAATTAAAGTATTAATTTTTATTAAGACTTTTTTGATATCCATGCATTTATTTTTTATATATTTGACATAAGGATAACAAAAACTTTTCAAATTAATGTTTTTACTTTCTCCTTAGTTCATATTATTATTTACGTACATTATTTATTCTACATGTGTGAGAGAAAGAAAAACTAACGTATACAGGGTGGATCAGTAAACAGTGACATAACATATACAATCGTTTTGGGGCATCAAAAATGAGTAAATATTTTGTTAAGAACCATGTACCTCAAATTTCAACGTTTTTCAAGGTACAGAGATTTTAAAAAATTTTGACGAAATTTTTACTTGTCCAATTTGTTTTCGAGTTATAAAACTCCCATTCCGAAAGGGATAAAAGCTGTAAATAAGCAGTTTCTGAAAGGAGTAGCAAAGGGCTTGAGCCCTTAATGATGGTATATGAAGTTATGTCACTGCTTACTCAATCACTCTGTATATATCTATTATTTGTTATATATATAACAACAACAATTTAAACCAAAGTTTTCTCTTTTCATTAACAATATAAGAGTATCTATAATTATTTTCCTTCCGTGATAGTAAAATAACAAATTATTTTCTAATATCGTACGTTCAAAGTTAGAATGAATATTAGTTTTAGTTTTAGCAACATTTTTTTTATTTGTTTATTTTTATAGTATTCTATATCTCCTATACATAAACATTATTGGTTAATTTAGGAGTAAAATAACGGAAGTATTTACCTGTAGTTTTGTATGTATAAATTATGTGTTATCGATATTATTACTGAATTTTTCTTTTGATTTAATAGTAACAGGTTTTGAATAATCATGGCAACATGGTATGGAAATGAAAAATTAAAAATTTGTGTACAAGGATCCGACGGATTTTTTAATTTTGTTATAGAAAATTTTTTTTCAGAAAATTTAAGAAATAATTTCAATTTAAACAGAAAAACGAACAGAATTTTGTTTTATACTCGTAGTTTCAAAATATAAAGGAGATTTTTTATTGTAGTTCATGGTTCGTTCAAGAAAATTATAATTTTCTTAACTATTGAAATACCGAATCGTTTATGATTCAGAATTACTTTATTACTTTTATAGGAATTGTGTTAGTCATTTAAAAATAAAAAATAACAAGCTGGAAAGGAGGCAGGCTTCCTTCATTGGCATAACTTGATTGCCGCGTTAAAAAATTTTGAATTTTAAATTTGTCGGGACTTAAAATTACTATAGATGAATTGTAATTGAAAATGGTTTTTCTCTAAATTGTATAATTGCCGTTCAAAGAAATATAAGCCTACTTTTTCGTATAGATTTCTGTCCATTAATAGAAAGTATATTACTAGTAATCCTGTTTCTTTAAAAATATTATAATTCATTTCTAATTCAGAAATGAATTAGAAATGAATTACCCAATTAGAACTCACCCAAATATTTGCATTCGATGGACAATCACGTCATGGTTTTCCTAGGTGAAATGTAAAAATCGGCGAAGTTATTAATTATAAAAAATTATTTTATATTATAGTAAAAATTTTGTTCTACTAATTTTTATATTGATAATCGGTGTTTTTTTGGAGAACAAGAGGAATAACAAATATGAGCAAGTTGAGCTTCTAAATAAAATTAATGGTAGACAATGCTGACGAAAGTTTTTCGGAGTATTTCATTCAGTTTTAATTTATTTTGTAACATCACGTCACCTGTTAATGATACCAACCTAAAAATATCATTTTTCGCGTCTACAGGTACGGCTACCAGAAAGTCATATTTGAGGTGACGTGACGTTATAGTTTTTTTTATCATGTTAGTGACGCTACTAACAGAATATGGGTTATAGTTAGCGTCATTACTAAAGTATTGCTTTGAATGCTTACTGAAAAGTTAGAAAAGTTTAGTAGAACAAAATATTTATATACAGATTAGAATATACAATACGTTAATAAATTTTAATTAAAATCAAAATTCAACTATAAATTCATAAATAATATTTTAAATAATTATTAAAAAAAAATTTAATTACTTATTGATCTTTAACAACATATTATTATGCTTCAATTCTTTCTCAAAAATTCATATTATAAATTCATTAATCTCTGCTCGATATTATCCATTTTTGGTTTTTAATATTAATTTAATATTATAAAATATAATTATATGTCATGGACCAATATTATGGTTACTATATCCTTTATTTCGACACATTTTTTTTCCCATTTTATTATTGACGCAATTCATTTTAAAAATTTAATTTTAATTCCTTACAATTACATAATTTGTTATATTTGTTTTTTTTTTTTTTTTAATTATTGTCTACAATAATTATGGTAAATTATTTTTTTTTTGTTCCTCGTAAATCTCTATGTAATTAAAGTGGATTTAGTAAAAGTGCTCTTTATTTCCCTTTTCTTTCTCTCTTACGTACATACAAACGTATAGCCTTTAAATTATTTAATTATTATTTGAAATGAATTTACCTATACAATGTTTATATTTTACTCAAAATATAGGTAAATATTATATTATATATATATATATGTATGTATGTATAGGAAAATAATGATAAAAAATGAAAAGCTATTAAAAAATTAATATTTTTTCATATTATTTGTGTAATCCTATTAAATGAAGGAAGAAAAAAAAAATTTTTTAGTATTAAGTGCAAAAACAACCAATAACAGTACTTTTATCTTGTAATTATATTTTCTATACATACATACTCAAATATTAAATAATTTGATTGTAAATGTAGAAAATTAAAATTTGTTTTTT